TATTTTACTTTTGCAGTTCCGAAGACTGAACCCACAGCCTTCACACTGAGCTACATCCTCAGCTCTTTTGAACCACTTAGGAGTTTATCTCGAGTGTCACTTGGACAGTGCATTTTTTTATGTACTGATTCCCCCTGGCATTGCTTGGACAGGTGTCATTTCACCAGTTGAATCTTGTGTGCAGGAGACACACTCCTACGTCTGTTTATTTTTTATATAGACTATTTTTATATTCCTTTTTATTTAGAATATTGTATTCACCTTTGATGTTTGTTTCTAGTAAAATGTAATAATAATAATAATAAGTTCTGGTTATTTTCTTTTACTAATTTGTGTTTATCTTATTTGTGAAAAATAACCTGTAATTTTGTGCTAAAATCTATAAAAACTATTATTGTAAGTGCATTAGTTATAATTTTTATACTTCTCTAGAAGCCCGTGATGTTCTTTTACAATACAAAATGGACACATGTGGGACCCTGAGGCTGTATAGGAAGGAAGCATCAAAACATCCGCAAAAGAGAAAACCGAGGCCAGAGAGATGCTAGCGTGTCCGAGGAAAAGTCTGTTAGGGGATAGAAAGACAAAAACACAGCTCCTTATTGTCAACTATTTATAGTACCCGAATGACAGAACCTGAAAGAGGAAACGAAGCTAAAAAATTCCAGTAGTGTCGATGACGGTAATAATTCCATGGGTGGTGTTGACAGAGTTGACCAACATCTAGCAAGCGATCCTATAATCAAAAAGTAAGGAAAATATTACTGTAGAATATTCATGCACCTTCTAGACCAAACAATATAGAGCTCATTTGGTATTTAGTTAAAACAAGGGGGTTCTGAACATCATTTACAATTCAGATTAGGTCTAACAGACCAAATAATTGAAAAACGCGGGCTAGCTAAATGCCAGCCGGGACAGCCGTCGTTGATGTCCTCCCTGTTACCTTCAGTGGGGAGGCACTTCGCTGAGATTACCCCGCTCACAGAAAAAGGGAAGGGCCAGCCCGACAGCGTGAAGCGCATTGGGCAAAGAGAAATGATAACGCACAAGGTACTGAGAAGGAGAGCAGAGACCACTGTCTAGTTCGTAACGCACTGTGTATTGAATGTTTTAAGATATACCGCACATAGAAAAATTATTGAATAAATTAGATAAAATTGCCATTTTTGTATTTCCTGCTCTATTATAAAAATTAATGAAAAATATGCAAATTTTGGTCATCCTGGGATTAAATAATTTGCCTGGTAAGTGATTAATTTTTTTTTTTAAATTTTGAGGGAGGCTCTAAGTCACTAAGTTGCCCAGGCTGGGATTGAATCCCAGCCTCCCAGAGTGCTGGGATTACGGGTGTGCACCACCCCAGCGGGATTTTGTGTGGCTCTTGTGGTTTGAAAGAGTCAGGTGTCCTGGGAGTTTCCATCGCCCTGCGGAGCCCTTAGCCAGTGAATGGCTTTGGCGGCTCTCCTCTGAGGCGTAATAAACGTCCCCGAACCCCCTCAGCATCAGGGTGGAACCTCCTAGGGGACTTGAGGTAGCACCTTGGTTTGACCACTTCCCTTTTCTGTCCCTCACCAGTTTTTCTGGAAACATTTCCTGGCATCACTTGCACACAAATACTCATCTCAAGATCTGTTTCTGGGGATCCCCTAAGACACACATTAAAAACTAAGGCTACTGGGCCAAGCTACAAACTAGGTATAAAACATCAGCCCAAGTTCTCTAACTTTAGCTGGTTATTTCGACAGTGCATCAGAAGTGCAAAGAGCTTTGTATGCGGAAGAAGGAGGCCTCCTGTAGCCCACTGGAAGTACGGCTTAGAAAGCCCGCCCTATTGTTTACGAAGTGAGTGTAAGGCAGTGATCCCATACTCTGGAGTAAGGTACCAGGATGTCATGGAGGAAGCTCACATTTTCTAAGGGCAAATGCTTCTTTAGAAAATATCCAAGGTGAAATACTCTAACTTTCTGCATAACTCTACAATGAAACTATAAACTACACTAAAGTAGATAATGTCTAGCCTAGAATTATATCTGTTGCATAGTTCAAAACTACTTTCTCAAAAGTGTATCTCTCCAGCAGAAAGGTGTGTAGATTGTAGATGATTAGTGATTAGCTAGTGTTTTTGCTCTAAAAATATCACAGAATAGTTTGCCATTAGAAAAAAAAATCAACCCAGATCATACTTCATACTAATTCTGCTTAAGACAATACTTCCCTGAGTGGAAATGAGATAGTGTATCAGTACAGCAGCTCGAGCTACAGTTCAGCTCTTACATTAAAATGTGGGCTGTGTGGCTTTCTGGCTCCATGATCCTGGTAAAGTCACACTACCTCTGTGCACCTCAAATCTTAAATTTATGGGACCTACCTGAAGGTTATTATGATGACTAAAGGAGGTGACACATGTAGCACTTGGCAAATAGCACTCAGTGAAAGTTAGTTAATCGGATATTACTGATTATCTCAACGTGATGTTATCAGTATTATCTGCGTGTGATAATAAACACTCTTGGTTCTTCTCTTTCTTACTGTTCTTTCTGGTTTTCTACCCTGGTTTACTGATCTGTGCTCGACTTCCAGACATGAAGCTTCTCACAGGTCTGCACTCTAGTCTATTTGCTCTCCCCTCCTTCTTGCTTCCCTTTGCTCTTTTTTCTTCCCTCCCTTCCCCTCTGTAAACAGTGATGTGGACCTGTTTTGTAACTGTATTTCCACCCACACAGATTCTTTAATCCCCACCTGAAACATTTAAAAATTAGTTAAGCTGCAATGTTTTAATCTCAGAAAGACATACTGCTTTTCTCTCGGGAAGATCTCCCATGAGCAGGGCAGTGTTACATAGTGGCTCTGGGTGTCTTGGGTCTGGTGACTTAATGCTCACCAGCTATACTTTCTTGGGCCATTTCCTTAACATTTGTAAACCTCAGCTCCCTCCCCTGTAAGACAGAGCCAAGAGCAGTGCACAAGTCATAGCATTTGTGTACTGGGTGAGATAATCTCCAGACTTAAGTGAGGCAATTCATGAAAAATGCTGAGCACACGCTCAGAGTAACTAGTTCTTTTCACAGTTGAAAGCTGCCCCTGAAAGTAGCAGCGTCAGGCACACTCCTGTGCCCTTTGAGGAAGGCGAGCTCGTGGTTCTGTGATTCTCCTCATTGTGGCTGGCCTGAAGTTTGGGCTCTGACTTTTCTGATTCCCAAACAGCCCCGAGAGCAAATAGTCATGGGAGGCCTTTTTGAGAAAGGACTGCGGTGGGTTCTGGAAGGGAGCCCACGTAGAAGGGCCGCAGGTTCTCCTGCCGCTATCTTCCCCGTAACCTGCTCTCACACTGACATGGGGACTGGGCTGCCTCTGTTGTTTTCATAGCCAGAATAGTTCTTCTTGATGGTATCACTACAGATAAATGGGATCAAGGAAAAAACAAACCCTTACAACAGCAACCCTAAGTTGTCTGGCTCTAGAGTGTTAACGGCTAGCCCCTTGGACTGCTGGACCAGGGCTCCTCCCAGTGATGGCTTTGGCTGGCTGCCTAGCAACAGCCACACCTTCTCTGAACATCACAAGGTGTTGCTCATACCAGCAGTATTCATTTTTTTTAAATGAGTATCTCATTTTGTGAAAAATTAAGCCTCATTAAATGCAGCTTTCCAACGTGCATTATTTCCAAACAATTGGTGACAACTGTACAACACTGAAATTCGATTCTGAATTCCAAATTTTGAGTGGCTACAAACAGAAGTATGGGTGGTTTTAAAAAATCATAATGTTTATAGATAACCAGATCTAGAGATTGTGAATACTGTCAGATGATTTAACCACCAAGCATCCTTCATTCTCCTCCCCTAAAGCAGGCACTGTTATTCCCATGTTTGCCCTAAAAGTACGTATATGACGGATTTCCCAGAGTTCCTGAAAGCTAACGTTCTACATTGTTCTACAGAAATAGCATAAATCAATTCCATCTTATTTATATGTGTAGAAATGGAAGGTATGAGTTAAAATTAATCAGAACACCATGATTCATCAGAAAATCAATACATTTAAAGGTCACTAACTTCTCTAAATGATTTTTAGGTTGCTTTGTAACCCTTCTGGGTTTAATCTTCTCTATTAAATTATCTCTGGATGTACACAATTATTAAGTCAGTACTGCTTGGTATAATTAACTCCTGATATTAATCCTCTCATAGATTTTTGCCCTGGCTTTTTCTAATCACTTGATTCTTGTGTACATTAGAAACCCTGATCTCATCTGTTCTTTTCAACAAGAATTTCGCCTGAGAGAGCAGAAAAGCAATATGTGGAGTGACTAACAGCTCAGCTCTCTGGCTTTGGGCAAATCACTTGAATTCCCTAATCTTCAGTATTCCTATCTGTGAGATGGGATAATATCAGTTCCTATGATGTAGAGTGGTGAGAATTAAAACTTAACATATTTGAACCATTTAACAGAATAACTAAAGGGTAGCATGAGTGAAAGCCACTGATGAATTAAGACAAGCAATTTAATAAAATATTATCTGCATATACAAATATCAGATGGACAGATGGCCTTGCAGTATTTAATGGTTACCCTTTTACAGCAGTTTGACATCCCCAACCCCAAACAACACATCCTCACCCTCAACAGTCAAACAAATCAGCCCCCAAGCTCTCATCACACTGTTTCTCGACATGTGACTTCTTTTCTTCACCTCTAGCTGTGGGTGCAGTGCTGGTGTAAGAGATGAGGCTAATTCATGCTTCATAGTTAAGGGCAGGTTGTTCATCTTGAAGTCAGTTGAGTGGCGTGTAATTTCATCATTCGTGTCTTCATCACTCTCGTCAGGAACGCAAGTGGCAAGCATGTTGTGGCCTTCTTTAACCTGCGGGGCAATAGGGGTGACCGGCCCAGGGGCGGAGGGATTGAGGCTTGGCTCCCGGAGAGGTGAGGAACCTTGCCAGGGACTTAACAATGTCTGCAATGTTCTGCTTTCTCCCTTCTGTCTGATCAACAGTACTTCATTTCCCCGGAGGGCTCTGGCTTCGCCATTGACAGCACCGGAACAATTTCCACAACGACCGTCTTCGACTTTGAGAGTGAAAGTAGAAGGTAAATACTGCTGCTGGGTTTTCACTGGAAATGTGGGCCCTTCGGTTCCCACTGCCCTCTTTCCTCCTAGTTGGTCTTAATGTGCTCCCAGAATGCAGGAGCTTTTGGCATCGCCTTAAAAGTGATATCAGAACGTAATGGACAATCTCACCAGTGCTGGCTTGGGTGATGGACTTGGCTGCTGGGGCCCTGTCCCTGTCACTTGGTTTTTTCAGTGAAGTGTCATGATTATTATCACCTTGGTGACACTTGGGACCTGCAGGGGAAGTGGGCAGGGACTTCTCTCTGGATGCGAGCCACACAAGATTCATTCACGATTCTCAGCATCTTTACCATGTTAGTGCTCGGACATTATCTCTTTATTTTCTCCACAGGTGCCAGGTGGGTAACCACTGGTTCAGGTTACTATTTTTATTTTTGTAATGGTTTTTAGGACCACCCTTTTCAGTTGTAAGTTTTGCATCAAAGAGCTGCATAGGAGAGGGAAACGGACATTGAAGACGTTCCAATCAAGTTGCTCCCGAACCTAAGAGATCCTTCTGTATTATAAATCAAGAATGGAGTGGATCCTGAGAGGGCATCATTAGTAGCAAAGGCCCCACAAAGACTAGGTGCACACACATAATAGAAATCACCTTTCCCTGAGACAGATTCACAGGACAGCATGAAAAAAAAATGTGCTTTTTGTTTTCTCCAACCTTGTAAAATTAGCAGAAGAGTGCCTTGACCTGTACTATCTTCCTACGATTTGGGAGCAGAAGTCACCAAAATCTTTATTCATTTTCCTTGGTCCCCAACTTCTCTAACCTTTGTCAAATAATTCTTTGAATCATCTGATCTTATTAACATCTCTGGCAGTAATGGCTAATGTCCATCATAGCTGGGTTTTCTTTTCGGTCTCCTATACCTCATGGAACAGAGACTGCATACATTCAAGACACTTAGAAATCATAAGATGATCTGTTCACAAATGAAAAAAAAGTCACTAATGAGAGTTGAAGAGATGAACTTTTCTCTTCGTAAGTGAAAATAAAAGCTTCTCCTTTTCTTAGCATCTCTGAATCACAGGAGCTGGCCCTGGAAAATCGAAGACCCAGTTGCAGACCAGAATAAAGAGCTGTTTGGCTAAAGCTCTGGTGTGTCCTCACTGGAGTTCCACTGAGAGCACAGCATTCCGCAATTTCCTTCTTTCCTAGCTCCAGAGCTTCCAGGGTCACCGAGCAGAACTTTAAGTGAGAATAAAGGGGATTTCGGGTTGCCTCGCTGATTCCTGTCCATCTCCCTTGAAAGGAGTCACAGGAGCCGTGAAATCTCTTGTTCAAATCCTGAAGACAGAGTCAGGGAGGTTCACTGCTTCTGCACCTCTGCTGGTCAACTCTCCACACTCGGAGACGGACCGGAAGCTGAGCGGCTCCGGGCTGCGAACGCCGCCCACCCCTCATTGCTGTTGTGCTTGTACTCCAATCTTCCCAGTGTTAATTTTTAAAATATTTTATTCCTAAAAGTGGATTTACTGTGGTTTTTGTCAACAGTGTGTCTCATAAATAATTAATTTATTGTAGAAAAAATTATGAAATAAGAGGAAAATTGAAAACTTTTACTTTTTACCACTATTAGAAGGCAAACAGTCATTTTGGTCTCAATTAGTAGTATATCTAATTTTATCAGTTAAGATAGAATGTTTTCTTCCTACCAGTTTGCCGTGGGCGGGGGAGTTCCCTGGGATGGATAACTTCAGTGCTTCTTTAACCTGGACAGTGCCGGGAAAGTTCGGAGGCTTCATCATGAGAGAACACCGCTGGTGGGGGGTGATCGCTCATCTTTCAGTGAAGGAACATTCGTTTTCCTCATTGCGTCTCTTAGTCTGCAAACCCAGGTGCACCTTTGCTAAAATTAAAACCTGTTCATCACCTAACCATCCCGATATTTCCCACAGTTATTTACATGTAGTTGTTTTGAAGTATACTTAACATCTTCGCACAGTCTTTTTTCAGTAATAATAACAGACTTTTCTAAGGCTTGGCCTGTCTTTTCTTTCTTTTTTTTTTCCGGTACTGGGAATTGAACTCAAGACCTTGCGCTTGCCCGGCAGGCGCTGTGCTGCTAAGCTAAATCCCTAGCCCCTGGTGTGTCCTTTCAATTCATATGACCAATTTGTTTTTTAACGAAGTGTTAGCCATTTCTAACCACTGAAATAACTGGCATGACAGATGTTTTATCAGATGAATCAATTATCGTAAGCAGGTAAGCCCAGTCGCCTGTATTTCTGTGAGGGCTTATTGTTACTATATAATTTTACTGTCTTTCTTGTGGCTGTACTTTTAGTTTTTCACTGGTTATTAAAGTGGTGGATCCTGGAGGACTGTTTGCTGCTGGAAATCTAAAGATTTTCCTCATCAATGTCAACAATAAGAATCCCACTCTGACCTGCAGGTAAGGACATAAAACATAAACCCTATGATTTTAGTTTAACCTTAAAAATTAAATTTGAAAATGTAATCTTTTTTCCCCTTCTTTTTTGTGAGAAGGAAAGTAAGCATGTAAGGTGTGAACAGCCACTTCAGATGTAGAATTCCAGAGAAAAGGCTTCCTTTCAAATCAAAAGCAGAATAGTTTATAAAAATATACAGTGTATTGAGAATACAATAGAATGAGGTGGTATTAGTGAGGTGTGTTCCTGACATCTGCCTTGTCTCTCGCTCCCTTCTTAGGGGACTCTAGCCAAAAGTGTCTCCAGGGAGTGACAATCATGAAAGCCTGCTGAACATCAGCAATTCCAGAAAGCTGCTTTCTACTATAGAAGGAAAAGAAGGCGGTTATTGAGGAATAGGTTGTAGAGCAAAACGATCTTGGGGTCAAATCCTCTCCCAGCCATCTTGATATTTACCTCTGAAAGTTACTTAATTTCTTAAATTCTTAGTTTCCTCACCTGCAAGATGGGGACAAAAAAGGTACATTCTTCCTAGGGGTAAAGGAAAGAACCCAGATTTTGGACTGCAAGTAAGTGCTCAATAAATTAGTTAGCTAGTAGTATCATTATTAATGATATTTTCCCAAACCTTCTACTCTGTAAACACTGACACCATGGATACAAATGCCCAGGAATGACTTCTTGAGCCAAAGGAAGAAGTTAGGAGAGTTTTTATTGGAAATAAGGAGAAGGAGAACAGGGCCTGGATTTCCAGGAGAGATCCCAAATGGGGTGTCCACAGGCCCTCGGATCTAGAGCTAATTGTGGACAAACAGAGCACAGGAGTCACTCAGTCATTCTGTGCTCCCCTACCACAAATGGCTCTGTGGATGTAAAGTGACAAAACGGGACTCAGGCTTTTTACCTGGTTCGTGGAGGCGTGGGGTTTACAGGAAATTGGGAGCTCAGAAAGATCCAGTTAATTTGCGTTGTAATTTCCTTGAAATTCAGGATCTTAGTAAGGAGCAAGGGTTGGAATATCTTCCATGCTGCCTGAGGAAATTCATTCTTCATTCAAAGCCCAAGTTTATTCTCTAATCTTAATTTTTATCCGTATGGCTGGTCACCTCACTCTGTTTCTCCTAGCTGGCTGCCTTACTCAGAAACTAACTAAAGGAACTCTTTTCTACACCCCCAAAAGTATAGGAAAGATAGCAAGCAAATGACACAGCCTTTTCTTTCAAAACAAGCTTATTCAACATTGAAAATGCTGTCTTGAGTGTTGCTTCTATAAACTCGACTCTTCACAAGAAAGTTGACATCACACTGGATGAAGAAATCCCGATTGGGAAAACCATCGGAATGTGCCAGGCAGACGACGAAGATGCCTTGGGAGATTTAACCTTTGAACTTGATCCTTGGAATGTTTACTTCGCAGCTGATGAAGGTAGGTGAAACGTGCTCTCGGCAGGCTGTCTTACCTCACGTGGCTGCAGGCGTAGGTTTCTGTGCATGTTTCTGCCGCAGACTGTTTCCTGATTTCCAAGGCCCCAACATGAAGCACATGCTAGACACTTCACACTGCTCTGTTCCACAGCTCCCTGCAAGATCTCTTCTTTGTTCACCCCTGACCTTACAAGTGGTGCTCTACAAAATGGTGGCCTTCGCTACAAAATGGTGGCCTTAGCCTTCGACTTTACTACCCGTCGAGTTCATCTCAGACCTAGCTCAACTCTTCTCTTTGCTTCCGGCCTACGCTTTTGTGAGAGAAAATCAAGTTGGATGTTGTGGAGTTGGTCATTTATTCCTCATCCAATTGGCTGTGGCTGAGGCTGGGGGGGGGGGACCGAGTATGTGGTATCTGAGGCTTCTTCTGAGGCGGAAGTGAGGAAAGGTGGCCGTGGAGTGCACATATGCAGGTTCACCCACTGCTGCAGATGCTGCCACTGTCACACTCACATCTCCCCAGGCGTGACACTTCAGGGCAGCCAGCCTGACCTCCACCTGCCAGTACCAGCATTTCTTTGCCCGACATGTTATCTGGAGGCTTACCACTGGCTGCCCCTTCTCGCTCCCACAGCAGGTCAGAGGTGTTGGAGAAAAACCTACCCCTCAGGAGCACTTGGCCAGTGACTGGGGCTGGTGTACAAATACTCCAGCTCTTTGCCCCTATCATGGGGCCTCTCTGAGTCTCTGTTCTACACCGGCTCCCAGACTTCCCCCGTGATGTGAGGCTCTAGCTGGCTATGGAGGAAATTTGCTTGGCGGTGCACTTTTCCTGGCAGTTTCTCTTCTCTACCTCACTTTGCCTTGAATCACTGCACTCAAATCTCACCTCAGATTCTGCTTCTGGGAGAGCCCCAGCCAAAAAGCCCACCATCCTTTTTTACATGAATTATCACACAGATCGCTTACTGGGCTTTTAAGGCAAAGGACATGAGGAAGAAAGTATGAGTCAGATGATGCAGTCACGTGTTTGCCTTTGTGGTGCTCTCTCTGCCGGGCATGAGCCCTCATTTGTCACCATCTCCTTACTTACACGAGTTTTCCAGCCTGAAACAAAGGCCTCGTCTAGAAAGTCTTCTCCGATCGCCTAAGCCAAGCACAATTTTATTTTTGCTACTAAGATAATACGATTAATAGTATATTGGGGGGTCAATAATGAAATATCATGCTTCCACTTTGAAACAGCTTCTTAATTCTAGTGATTAGGCCATAATTCGGAGTTTATTTCTTGATAGCTATACATGTAACAAAGTAATTCTGGAAACAACAGCCTGGGCCGCTTGAGCAAGACGTGTTTTGTTGCAGAGCGTGGGACTGTGGTCACGGCCACTCGTCTTGATGCGGAGAGAGAGGGGTTTGCGAGTGTCCAGTCCTTCTCCATTAAAGCCTGTGACCACGACCGGCGGTGTGCGGCACTCCCAGTGACTGTCCATGTTCATGGCATTAATGACAACCCGCCTTTCTGTGACCAGTACCTGATGAGGTGAGCTGAGATGGGTGGGTGGAGCAAACATTCAGAGCCGACTGAGGGAAGGAGGCACTGGGTCCTATCACTTACTGGCCCAGCTGGCCTGTGGTTGATCATCAAATCGACTTGACTTTTGTTCTGTCTCAGGATGGGGTTCTGGGTTTCCAAGATCTGACAGTAAGCGATAAGAGCTTGGGGTTTGGAATCACCGCCCTGGCTTAGAATCCTGGTTCTATCCCCTCTTAGCTGTATGCTCCTGCTTTGATCTTTAGTTTTTCTTTATAAAATGAGTTAACAATAGTACTCAGTGTTTTGTAAATGGTATTTACAATGTAAATGGTATATATCAAAGTTCCATTGTCTAGTATCTGAAACCCTTGGCACTGTATATGTTTCTTTTCTTTTTTTTTTTTTTGGTACCAGGAATCGAACTCAGCACCTTAAGCTTGCCAGGCAGGCGCTTATGCCTCTGAGCTATATGCCCAGGCCTTGTATATGTTTCAAGATAAGGATTTTCCCTTCTGATTTCATCAGGGGTGAAATGTTGTGTATCTCGTATATCATGCAACTTTCCCAGTGAGACCTGAGTAGAACTCTGTATTCAAATCGATAGTGACTGTCACTCTAAGTGAATCAAATCCAGACCTGACTATTTAGGTAAAGTTTTGATGCAGAGTGTTTTCAGGTCAGGTCAGGTTGTGAGGTCAGATAAATGATGAGGAGGATGTGAGTTTCAGCGCTTTGGGGCTTTGAAATTTGGATGAAGGACGGTGGGTTTGTATTGCCCTCAGGGAGGCTGCTTTTATTATCTGACACTCAGTCTTTAAAGCTACCTCTGTGGGGAGTCTCTTCCTCACACGCAGGGCAGCTACTCCATGTTTCCTGAGTATTGCCCCTGTTGTCTCATGGAAAATAGAATGGAGCCCTGCAAGTTACTACCCATGTGGTCTCAATTGGAAGCCAGTTACCTTTCAAATAGAGATGCTAATTGTACCTACTGCATGGCCTGCTTGTAAGGACAAAGTACCATCTGCGCTTGGGATTTGATATCCTTTCTGCTTCTCCTCCTGCACCTCTTCTCCAAATTTTCCTCCTTATTATTCCATCAAGAGGGTCATAGTTGATTAACAAAACATAGCCACACCCTGCAGGGAGTGCTAACGTCCCTTGAGGAGACGGCATGAGTACTTGCTATGCTCATTTTTCTGTAAGGAGGTTGTATCTTGTCAGGATGATAACAGGAGTGCATATACAGTAAAACAAATCAACACACACACACACACACACACACATCACAAAACGTTGTGACTGTAAGTCCTTCCTGGGTGCTGTGCTCTAATCTTTAAGTGGGAGAACATGTGGACCTGGGTGGTTAGAGAAGCTTTGTAATGGCTGGGAACTCTGAGATTTTGACTGTTAAGCAGCACGTAGATGCTGACGGCTTAAGAGCAAGCATTTGGGGCAGCAAGATGTCAGTGCAGATGGGTGGATGTACGGCAATGACAGTAAGCTCTCTGGATCTGTGGAATGGACAGGAATAGCTCTTGGCCATGTTGTCCACATGCTGCAGGTTCGGACAGTCCCTAGAATGATCTGATTTCCCCTCAGGCTTCTTCATGGTAGTGGTGGCCTCGATTGACTTCCCCTCCTAAGCAAGTGCTCAGCTAGGGACAGAGAGGGAACACTCCAGAAATTGAGGACAGCTTCACCAAAGTTACTCAACCTGTTGGGAAGCAGTTACCCGGATGATGCTCCAGAGCTGATATCTTTCTTGCTGGATGAGCAGGGCATCCATAATTGCGTTATTCAAGTTCAGGGATGTTTATGGGAAAAGCGTTCTGCTTTAAAAGAATGTCAGTCTCCAATGGCTTTTGTTCTTGAACAATAACACAGGTACACAGGCAGAGAGGCGATTGCAGTGGACACAGTAGTGGCAAAGCTCTTGTGTCATGACCTTGATGAGCCTCCTGATACAATCCACTATGTTCCAAGCTTGGGCCCAGTTGGCTCTGGACAAATCTTTGAGCAAGTACCAGGCACCGACCATGTCATCCAGGTGAGCAGCAGCAACTGCCAGTGCAGGCAGCTTTCCGGGGGAGGTGCAGCCATGTGACCCCCATAGTTGGGAGGGTGCGGGTAGATACTTGTCTTGGTTACTTTTCTCTCGTTGCTGGGACAAAATACCTGCTGCGCAAAATTAAGGAAGGAAAGGTTTATTTAGCTCACAGTCTGTGGAGGTTTCAGTCCATACTTGGCTGGCTCCAAGGTAGGGTGGCACATGGCAGAGGGCAACAGTTCATGGCAGCAGAAGACAGCAAAAGCAGCAAGAGCACAAGGGAGAGGCAGCAGCAAGCATTCTCCTTTCCTCCTTTACATTATGTGAAAACTACCTGCCCCAGGGCGGGTGTAGCACTTACACCCATAATTCCAACGTTGGACCATGAATCAATCATAAACTCTAGAAGCCGCCCCATGACTGCATGTGTCTTTGGAGAACGCCCAGACACAGCCATAACAATACTGAGGGAAGCTTTGACCAGCAGAGGGGAATTCCGGGCTCCCCTTGAGTCTCTCTGGAAGGTGTCTTGTCCTTCATTATCTTGCTGCCTGCAATGATATTCTCCTTTTTAATAATGAGCACAAAATAATTTATTTCCTGTGGGGGAAATCAGAAGCTAAGAAGCATGCTGATTTCCTTAGAGATAAATCTGTGTGACTGCATGTGGAACATGGCGTATTCTCTTGCCACTGGGAGAGGTTGATCAGCTCCTCTCACCCCTCTTGAGCTTTCTACTGGTGAAGTCTAAGCAAATTTTTTTCCTTCCCAGCATATGATTCTTTAGTCAGAGAAATCTTTCCTTCTGGCTCCAGCTGCGCATAGGCCTTTCTTTCAGAGCTCCATCCCTGAGAGGCTGGCATCATTGTTCCTTAACCCAGAGACCGTTATGTACCCTCCCCCTGCCTTTGCCTAAATGTGGCTGCAGAAGCCGCTGACCTTTTTCCTTCCTTGGTCCTAACTCCCAGTTTTTCCGACAAGTTCCACCAGCTGCAAGCTGGGTTTTTGCGTATGTTAAGAATTTTGGAAGCTAAGGCACTCGGCTTCCTGGGTTTATGTTCACTTCTCAGTGCAAGGCCAGACTATCATTTTAAAAAATGGAGTTTGGGGAAGATGGAAGTTTCATAAACACGGTGCTATCTAAGCTCTGGGCTTTTGCATGTGCTTGCTTTGTATTTGACTAGTGCCTCCGTCAGCTACTCGCCTCTAATTAATATCCGTGTCTGAGTGATTACGCTTTAGATATTGTGTCACTTATTCCCAAGTAGGTTTTTTTTTTCTTTTAAGCACTGTGTCAGTTCCTTCTGCTAAGGGCTCACAATTTAGCTTGTAGATTCCATATCAAAACACTTAGCAGACTCTCTTTTAACTATCTGTTTATTGTTCATCTATTAGAGTACAAGATTTGCACATATTTCTAAGTGGTTCATAAAATCTCCTATAGTGCTTGGTGCATAGTGGGTACTTGATATGCTTTCACTGAATTTTAAAAATGTAGCTGTTTCTAAAAATCTGGATACTTGGTGTCATGTGCATTCATTCCAATTTATGCTGATTAAATTTTTGCTAATGCTAATGCTATTAAGTTACCTCTGTCTTCAAGTCCCTGATTTGGAGCATTTATTTGCTGCTGTTTCCCTAGTATCTACAATTATAACACCTAACTAGTCCTCAATACATATTTTTGAAGTGGTAATTTATCATATCTGGAATAAATTATATATATATATATATATATATATA